GGGAATTTCGGGAATTTTTTGGCAATTTTGGGAATGTTGACCTCACTCACCATTCTGGCTCTGCCCAGACAGTTTTGGGTCGGTTTTGACGCAAATTTGGGTCAGTTTTGGCTCCGAAAGCGCCGATTTTGATTAAAACGGGGTAAAAAGACGGGGATTTTGGGGAATTTCGGGAATTTTTTTGGGAATTTTTTGGCAATTTTGGGAATGTTGACCTCACTCACCATTCTGGCTCTGCCCAGACAGTTTTGGGTGGGTATTGACGCAAATTTGGGTCAGTTTTGAGCCAACTTTGGGTCAGTTTTGGCTCTGAAAGCGGCGATTTTGATTAAAACGGGGTACAAGGACGGGGATTTTGGGGAATTTCGGGAATTTTTTGGGGGGAATTTTTTGGGAATTTTGGGAATGTTGACCTCACTCACCATTCTGGCTCTGCCCAGACAGTTTTGGGTGGGTTTTGACGCAAATTTGGGTCAGTTTTGGCTCCAAAAGCGCCGATTTTGATGAAAACAGGGTAAAAGGACGAGGATTTTTGGGAATTTTTTTTTGAAATTTTAGGAATTTTTTGGGAATTTTGGGAATGTTGACCTCACTCACCATTCTGGCTCTGCCCAGACAGTTTTGGGTTGGTTTCGATGCAAATTTGGGTCAGTTTTGGCTCCGAAAGCGCCGATTTTGATTAAAACGGGGTAAAAGGACGGGGATTTTCGGGAATTCCGGGAATTTTTTTGGGAATTTTAGGAATTTTTTGGCAATTTTGGGAATGCTGAGCTCACTCACCATTCTGGCTCTGCCCAGACAGTTTTGGGTGGGTTTTGATGCAAATTTGGGTCAGTTTTGAGCCAACTTTGGGTCAGTTTTGGCTCTGAAAGCGCCGATTTTGATGAAAACGGGGTAAAAGGACGGGGATTTTGGGGAATTTTTTTGGGAATTTCAGGAATTTTTTGGGAATTTTGGGAATGTTGACCTCACTCACCATCCTGGCTCTGCCCAGACAGTTTTGGGTGGGTTTTCACGCAAATTTGGGTCAGTTTTGCCTCCGAAAGCGCCGATTTTTATTAAAACGGGGTAAAAGGACGGGGATTTTTGGGAATTTCGGGAATTTTTTGGGAATGTTTTGGGAATTTTGGGAATGTTGACCTCACTCACCATTCTGGCTCTGCCCAGACAGTTTTGAGTGGGTTTTGACGCAAATTTGGGTCAGTTTTGAGCCAACTTTGGGTCAGTTTTGGCTCCGAAAGCGCCGATTTTTATTAAAACGGGGTAAAAGGACGGGGATTTTTGGGAATTTTGGGAATTTTTTGGCAATTATTTGGGAATTTTGGGAATGTTGACCTCACTCACCATCCTGGCTCTGCCCAGACAGTTTTGGGTGGGTTTGACACAAATTTGGGTCAGTTTTGAGCCAACTTTGGGTCAGTTTTGGCTCCGAAAGCGCCGATTTTGATTAAAACGGGGTAAAAAGACGGGGATTTTGGGGAATTTCGGGAATTTTTTTGGAATTTTTTTTGGAATTTTGGGAATGTTGACCTCATTTACTATCCTGGCTCTGCCCAGACAGTTTTGGGTGGGTTTTGACGCAAATTTGGGTCAGTTTTGAGCCAACTTTGGGTCAGTTTTGGCTCCGAAAGCGCCGATTTTGATGAAAACGGGGTAGAAGGACGGGGATTTTTGGGAATTTCGGGATTTTTTGGGAATGTTTTCCTGGCTCACCGCTCTGGCTCTGTCCGTAGGAGGATCCGTAGCCCCCCTGGCCGTAGCCCGTGTCCGAGCTCTGCCCGTAGCCGCCGTAGCTCTGCTGGGAGTAGCTCTGCCCCCCGCCCTGGGAGTAGCTCTGGCTGGGAGGGGCGGGGTAGGCGCCGTAGCTGAGGAGAAAAATCCCAATTTTGGAAAAAAATTCCTCACAAAAA